AACCTAACAAAACGTAAGTCACTGTTACCAACAGTGACCAGTTCATTATCGGGATGTTATTAATGTATAGAATTAGGCAAACCTTAAAGCGGAGCTTCTACTAATCTTAAACAGGTACTAATTACGATTACTGCAAAGAACATTATGGAATAGAGACAGAGATCTAGAGGGCCTAGCGAGTCAAAGAAACTACAGTCTGTAACGTGACGCATAAGCGATTTCGTATACAAAAAAAATGTTTCACTTGTCAATACAAGGAATGCTGTTTCCATAACACACTCGTACTGAGTAAATACAAGTTAAAGAAATTCTCTTGCATATCAGATGACGATTGATCTGTAGAGGAAAATACCTCCTGATTTCAATTTCGAATATCTTGAATATATTGAAAATAACTGCACATAAATCACAAAGGAGCAACTCTAAATTTATTAAAGATCAGTAAAATGTCTCTCATGATTCTCTCATACATGCATGTTCTTTGTCGGCAAGCTCATTTGGTAAAAAATGCACTTTTTTAGGTGTGCTCATCCTCGTATTCTTCGCGTGTGCTCTAAGTCATTACAAAGTGATGACAGGCTACTATGTGACATTGAAATATCAGGCAAAACCCAGGACTAGCCTGAAAAGTGTTTGCAACTTTAAAGTGACTCGATTCTACGTAATTTTGCTTTGCAAATAACACAATTGGGCCTTAGGCACTTAAATTCCATTGAGATAATAATAGAGCTGAAACAACTTACATAATACAAGCTGCGTATCACTAGTCACGTGAAATTTACACAAACGGATGACATAAAGCACATAATATAGGAACGCATTTAAAGCTTAATAAGGGCCTTTTTACATGGAGGTGGGGCACCCCAGGAAGGTGAGGTAATCCGCTTAGGTAGGGCAACCCGCCTGTCCATATAATCTCTCATTTTGATGGGATCACGTTTACACGTTAGGTGGGATAACCCGCCACATGTTACCACACCTACCTGGGGTCGCCCACCTTCATGTAAACAGGCCTTAATTTGATCATGACCACCAATAGATGCGGCTGAGGTCGTAGAATTATAACTGCAGGGTCAGTACCATCTAACGGGATATCCCGCAGGCGAAAGTTTAATGTCGAGTTTCAGCAATTACCGTCTCAATGATAATTCCCTTTTTCGAGTAAAGTATTAAATTAATGTGATAACTTTATTTTACCTTTCCAGAGAGTAAAATTGGAATTGACATTAAAAAAAAAAGGTTTCACTTCAAAGGTAAATTTTATTAATCATGATGTCACATTTTTTTTTATTTATTTATTTCTAGATCGTTTAGGTATTTCTGACAGACATAAATGCAAATAGCGAACATGGGAATATCCAAAGTGTGCTGTCGATGTTCTACAGAACCAAATTCAGAAGTTCGAACTCCAGTTCTCCGACGTTTTTCCTGTGGAGTAGGAAGCGTATTGAATGAAATCCAAAGCCGGCTTATTTCGTTCCGTCTAGTTTTCTTCATGAATGTCGTAGGACTCTCCGCGACTGAAGCTGGCGTGCTGGCACTATACGGGAAGATTTCCCAGGCCCCAGCCACACCTCTTTGCACGTTTTTGGAAGAACGAATTAAGATCCCATTTTTGTCCCGAAAACTCGGAAGAAGAAAGTCTTGGCATTTCATTGGAACAATGCTGTTAACAATCGTCCTACCACTCTACTTTGGACCTTGTTTTCCTTGTAAGAGTGATGGTGGACATTGGCAACTGATGGTGTACATTCTGACATTGAGCACAGTTCTGTCAACTAGCGTTAGCTTGATAGAACTTGGACATCTGACGCTCATTCCTATTATTGCAAAGAATCAAGAAGAGGCCATTGAACTGAATGCATTGAGGTTTGTTTTCCCTTAACCTGCTGTTCAAATTCACTTTCAATTTATAAAATTTAATGTACGTTTCTACATATGAATTAAAGCTCTTGCAGAGGTAAGCTCAGAGATTATATTCGTTATTAGAGAGATGCAACAACTAAAGGCATTTAACCTTGCCGCCTGTTAGTAAACTAAAATTGCAATCGACCCGCTCTCTGTCGAATGGTCTTCCCCATGTAGTGATCACTTACTAAAGTCAGTTGGACAAAATTATCAAGGGATCAATGCGAATAAAACCTACACTAACCGCTTATTAAAGGGACAGTGTCCCGATTATGCGCACGCGCGAGCGTCATCTGTTTTTTCTTCAAAAGACAATAGAACTGTCATATTGACTCGACAAGATTTCCTTCCGGGCCGCACCGCCGACGGAGATTTGTTGTTTATATTCTCAAGTAATATTTTAGACTTTCGAAGAAGTCTTTCGTCTTATTTAAAATTTGGCTCGCGGCACGAAGACTCATCGCGATTTTATCACTAGCGGGGCCGCCTCGCGACCCGAAAATCTCTTTCCGCTCGCTTTAAAACAGATTTTCTATTGTGAAACTCGTGTCAGAGGTCAGTTGTTCTAAGTCCAGTAATATCTGCCTGGTTCTAGCCTCAAATGTTTGAAAGACATAAATAAAAATGCAATCTCAAGGCTATGAATCATCGCAAAGATCAGTCAAAAATTATATTATGATTTTATGAAACTAGTTTTTCTAAACCTGTAACGCCTGTTTGTTTGATTTTGTCGGCCGTAGGGAGATTCATTTAAAAGTTTACTAACGCGTCGTTGCAAAACATTCCACAAGATCTCCACAGTCACATCAATGTCTCAATGGTTTCTTTTTTACAGTCTTTGTTGTTGCTGTTTCATTTCTTTGTATTCCTTTCACAATTATCTGAGCCTGTATGGAAGCTAGCAGAAGAAATAAGCCTTCAATCGGCATCAAAGCGCCTCCCATCTTCTGGTCCTCCGGCCAACGGTAATAAAAGTAACGCCAAAAGATCCAGATTTCGCCCAAATTGAAACTTAACAGGAACAATATATCATTGATCTGTAATCCTGAGAAGTTTTAGTGTAGTATTGAACTCGGCCAAGCGCGATGCAAACGGATTTTTCAAGGTTCTCTTACTCTCCTCGCATCTTTTGAATTCGCGACATCCTGTCCAAAAATCAAAGTTTGGTGCATGCGCAGTAACGGGATACTGTTCCTTTAATAAGCTCTAGTGATTATTACAAAATTTCTCTTTATATCATTGATGATTTACAATAGCGTGTTTTCATTCACGTGGCCAGCAGCAATGTAAATTTGTTGGAACAAGACAAAGTTTTTACATAAGAAAAAGGTTCATTTAAAAAAAAAAAAAACACGTCTCATTGCTTTGGAGTAGCAATATGGCGGACGTGACGTCATGTAAAAACGCTCTATCATACACGGGTGATGGTCAAATAAGGACATTATTGCCCGGGAACATTTCTTACCATAATTTAACAAATTCTCTCCCCTGACGTTTCCTAAAGAAACGTATGGGACAAGAAAGAAGATTTTCTTTGTATTTGAATATATTGGGTTATAAAGATTTAATAGAGGTTAGCTGGACCTCAACAAGTTTATCTTTTTTTACTGTGGCGTACCTAACATATGATGGTATAGTTCTAACCGGATTTTTGAAAACGTTACTGCCAATTGGAAATTAAATGCACCTTTCTCCAAAGTAGCCATTTTTAAAACTAAGAGTGTAAAACCATTGCTTTTTATCTTCTCCTCCTTTCCTCCTTCTCGCACACAGTTTCCTTTTCTCCTTTCCTTTTGGTGTGATTTTGCAGCTTATCGGGTCCAATTCCAAAAAAAGCCTACCTTTTGACGCCTTTTAGCTCATGACTGCAACTTTTGCTAGGTTGGTTTTCAAAAAATCATCTAGAGTTATATAAATGTAATTCTCCCAATCACCTCCTCCTCCCTTCCTCTTAACTTCCGACTCATATGTATAGCATTTACGATGATTTATCACGTTTTGATACAATATTTATGTCATATCATGTGGTTGATTTACAGGACAATGTTTCAGTTCTTGGGTGGGGTCGCTACTTACCTTGTCGCTTGGGCAATTTTGGGGCAGGACAGTGCCAGCCAAATTACAGCAGAGAGCTCCATGGGCTTTATGGTAAAACTTGTTTAATTTAATTTTAAAACATCAAAAGCACCTCAAAGCTAAGCCAAACATGAATTGTATTTCTTTCCTTTCGTAGGTTTTGACACTTATCATGGTGGGAGTAGGTTTTATTCTCTCTATGATATTTCATGCTGGAACCAAAGAGCCTCCGAAAGTAGTTGTCAACGGGCAGTCAACCAAAAGTGAAGCTATGGTAATGATGAACCTCTATTTTAGCGACCAATCAATATCCATCATTCTTTAAAATATCTTAAAAATACGGTTATTTAATTTATAATTGTTGGAGAGCTGTTATCCATTTCAAGCAAATGTGCTGATATCTATTTAAATCTAAAATTCCTTTGTTATTTCAATAAATTATGGAATGTTGTTTTTTATTATTTTTTTTTTTCAGAGCAAGTCTTCTTTTGTTTCTCCATCATACCCCAGTTTACAGTCGATGACATACGTGAAAACAGGTGCGCATGCGCATTTAATTTAACCCATACGTGCGAAATTAGTGGTATGTACATCTGTCTGATTTCGTTAAAACGTGGCCACTGGGTTTTCGCCTGGCGCCGGGCGCAGCCCGGCTCCAGGCCAGTCCGGTGGCCAAAAATGTAGGGAGCCTGACGTCTTGGTCAGTAAGCTGGATAGCCCAGGGACTGCCCTAACAGTGGGTGGGTGGATCAGGCCTTGGGGTCAAAACTAGTGGGGTAAGGAGGGGGCCGTATTGACACAACTCCTTCAGTAATTATAAGCAACAGTGTTCAGTACGTGCAGGCTTTGACTGGCGAGTACCTTGGTCTTAATTTGCCCTAGCCAGCTGAATCAGACCTCTGCTGAGAATGATTATCATGATAATTGCAGAGCTCATCAGTGGGAGGAGCAGACAGTCACCCATTGTCCTGGGTGGGGAGGGTCAAAGTCATGGTACCAAGGACGCACTAAGCATAGGGCCTTTAGACACTCACTGAAGCCATGTTTTCATAAATCCAGTCAGACATACGGGTTATTCGATAATACTTTCTTGACCAAAATTGCATGAAAACTGTTCTGTGTTGTTTTCGGGTTTCCAGCAACACCACGAACTAATTATTAAAACGCCTTAATGAATATCCAATCTACTTGTGTCAGCCGAAGTGACATATTAATTTCTTAGCCCTATAAATTTACAACTTTTAAGAACTTCTGCACAGGTCACCATTATAAGTTTTCTAATTAACCTGTAAATGTTTCTTATAATAAATAAATAAATAAACAGAACGGAATCATGAAATTAATTGCGAGCTGGAGTGACCAGATTGCTCAAATACATTTTGTTTTACTCATCAGAAGAGCCATTTAATTGGTAAATAGTGTTTTAAAAATGAACCTAAAAACTATTATTATGCCAATTTTTTCATCACACTTTTTAAAATCCATTTCTGTTTTTTTTTTTTTTTCGAATTGGCACTTAGACATGAAGAATGAAGCTGGTGAAGATGAATTTAGAGGGACGATTTCCAAAGACTCTTTCGATGAGAATCGGATTGATGATTCGACAGTGTTGAAGATTGTCAAGGAGTTGCCACAAGAACGTAAGATGAGCGTCGTTATGAGTACATCTTATGAATTGGCTGGATTAAAGGAACATTTGCCGATTGTTGAAAAAGGAAGCTGGGGTCTTGAACCTACTGAAATGAGCAATTCCAACGAGAAAATTTGTACAGAAGTGCAAAGCGATCAAACCGATATAACTAATGAGTCCTTTGGTAATGACAACAAAGGCCTTGATTTTAGTGAAACTGAAGTGAGTCCATATCATCTTGACCATGAGACCAGCAAGACAAGCATCGGAGACGATGGTCCCTTACCTCAAGCTATAAGGAATAACGAAAAGACTTTAGTTATCTCAGATGATCCTGAATCAGCTCCTCCAGTTACCCCTGCGCCAAAAACAGTGAGAGCCTGGCTTAGGGATCCACGTCTTTACATGGTAATAATAGTCTCTCTCTAAACATCAAGAATTGCTTTAAGTGTTTGGTTGTTTGTTTGTTTGCTTCTTTGTTTTTTTGTTGTTGTCGTTTTTTTAGTTTGTTTTATGAAAGTTATAAACCCCTTGTTATTCTGGCCATATTTTCAATCTACTTTTCTCGCATGGTGCAAATGTCAAAACCTCTTAACTGCTAACATTATACACTTAATGTAAGATCCCGAGGGAAACAGTTAGTTTTCTTTTCCCAAGAGTCCTGATGTTTCCCTCGACTTCGTCTCGGGAAACATCAGGACTCGAGAGAAAACAAAACTAACTGGTCTCCCGAGGGACCTGACATTAAGTGTTTTGTTATATTTCTAGACTTTCACTTCAACAACAACAAAAGAATAACCGGAGCGAACCAAAACTGTCGACTCGGTACTTATAACAACACAAATTTAATTCTCAAAACCACTGAATGAATGATTTACAAACAAAAGTACTTTCCTCATATTATCTGCATCTTTTTCCTCCACTAGCTGCTGTTTTTCTTCTGGGAACTTCTGGGATAACTTTAAAAACCGTTGCTTTTTAGCTTGAGGCTTCGTTTTTGTGTTGTTGTGTTCATTCACGAAAAAGAAAACTGGCTGGACCTGGCGGTGTTTGTCCCGCCTTCTGTCACACCACTTTCCACCATGCTTTGATCACGTGCTGCAATGTATCCCGAGCGGGATACATTGTTTAATGTACCACGATCGGGATACATTTGATTTTAGTCAAGGCCACGTGACCAAGAATCAACCAATGGCAGTCCCTGTTTAGTTGAGTGAAAGTCTAGGAATATAACAAACATGCTTATTCTTTATTCCATTTCTTTCAGATTAGAAAATACCAATCTTTACAGAAATAGATGGGAATACCTAAATTGATATTGTTCTTGTTTTTACATAGGTGGCAGTAATCTTCTCCTGTGCAAAGGTTTTGCAGGACGTTTGTTTTGCCTATCTACCACTCTTTCTTATTTACAGTGTGAAGTTTGAAAAGGTATTTTAATTAGTAATACAGATCCAAGTTTGATAATGCATTCTTCCGATCGAAACTTTTTGCGTTCTATTACTTATAGTGACGAGGGATTGTCTTTAAAATGATTTACAACTTGGGAGTGCCCCTGGTGTATTCTGGAAATGTCGGGATTTTGCAGTATATTACTTAGGCTATCGTATGGCAGATTGTTGAAAAGTTCATTGTCATTTTCGACGCCTAGCTTTGTCATAGTAGATAGGGATTTCTAACGGTTCAAGATTATAATCATGATAATGATCATCACCTCCACCACCACTACCACCACCACCACTACCACCACCACCACCACCACCACCACCACCCCCACCACCATCATCATTATCATAAGTATTTCAGTATTAGCATTCGCATTCGCATAAGCATGAGCATAGCATCATTATCATAACTATAATCATTATCATTCAACGCCCCTCTGTTGGTGCAAATTGTCGCTCGCTAATGCGTACATCTAAACTAGCCTAATCCGATTTGTTTCAAACTGCCTTAACTGATAGTAGTTGCACATAGCTTGCATTGTGAATGAGACACACCCTAAAGTAAAGAAACTTCTTATTAATAAATTTGTCTTGACCTTTTTAGGAAGCCATTGCTTATCTGCCACTCATCATGTTGATCACTGGAGCAGTCTCATCAGGAATTTCGAAAAAATTCATTGGAAAAGTTGGAGGCAAGGTAAGGCGAATGAAAACCACCTTTGATAAAAAAAGGGGGGGGGGAAGACTTACAAGCCTTAATCCGTTAGACTGATCAGCGCAGTTCTTTAAGATATTAAAGAATGGAAAGGGATGGGATGGATGAAAATAATAAATGGATGTAGGTGGCAATTGTGTTAACCATGAATGATTACTTTTTTTAATTTAATCTATTTTTTATCATTTAGTGGTCATTCTCCCTATCTGCTGTATTGGTAATAGGAGTTGGAGTGTGGTTTTATTTTATCACCGATTCCACTAAAGTGATGACATATCCAGCTGTTGTTTTGCTTGGATTTGGGTTTTCCATTATGATCGTAAATTCACTGAGCTTTGCAGCAGAACTTATTGGAGACAACAAAGTGAGTTAAGTTACAAGTGAATTTGGAATGATGTAGTCAAAAGGCTAAATGGAACAAAGGTTATTCACAAATTATAAACGTTCGCATGTGGTAGAATCTTAGCCTGTCAAGAAAGAAACCTCCGCTTTGCGAAGCCAACAATTGAACCAGACTCGATCTTCTTAGATTTGGTGCTCACTGTTTCATCTGTTTTGGTGGCAGTTCTTGCTTTTTTTTGCTTCTTACTTCCGCTTCTAATGGTTGACAACTATTTTCTACGAGAGTATAAACAATAGATATGACATGCCTGTCCCAAGCATGTTAACCCTTTAAACCCTAACATCAAAATGCAAATTCTCATTTGTTATCCCTATACGTTTTCAATAGAAGTAGTGGGGAGAATTTGTTGAAGTATCAATTAGATTAATTTTGTGTGATCATGTCCTCAATTCTCATGACCACCCTGTTTTATAAAGCATTGATATTACAAGGAGAAACTTCATGCTGATCACTCTTAGGGCTTAAAGGGTTAAGGCATGGCCTGAGGCTAATTTGCACAAAATCTTATACTGATCATAACTTTGTGAAAATTTATCAGAACCTTCCAAAATTTGGCAGCCTCGTTGCAGCCTCGGAAAAATCGGTAACCTTGATTTTCCTGTGACGTGAGAAATCAGATATCTATGTCACGTGACTATTTATGGTCGACTCCAGGAAAGAAAAGAAACCGAAAATGGGGTGGCGAGATGCCACACAGTATATATTAAATACAGTATTTTTTGCTATTGTATCATCATTTCTCGCTTGAATCTGGCCGGAATGGTTGACTCACGTTTTTATTTAATAATTAGTCAAGCAAAATAGGTCACGTGACACTTTTCACCTGTTAATATCTTTTCAGAAATTAAAAATTCTCTCCATTTCGGCCACAGAAAAAAATTCGTACTAACGGTAAAACAAACATTTACACATGGTTCAAACTTAGTTGTGATCAACCATTCCTTAGCCCATTTTAAATTTCTTTTTGAATATCATTATGACGTCACGTTTCACGTGACTACATTACTTCAACCCTAATTAATTCAACGCCTTGAAAGAAAGTTTCGCGAAAGTTTTTTGCAACTTTTAGAATTAAAATGCATGGCCGTAGAAGAAAAACAGCTTATCTTAGCGGAGGGTCGAGACCAAAAATTGAGCCATGCCTTAATAACATGATTGAGGTCTCTCAGTCGTGCGTCAAGGGTAACATTTCGATCGACAACTAGTTTTATTTTAATAACTGTCTAGTACACACTTATAAATAAAGAAATGCAGACGCTAGAATGTTCAAAATCTTGTCATGAAACAATTCAAAGATTTGTTAATTTATTTAATTCGGGATTATTGTTTCTTTAATCTTTTCTTTTGTTTTCTTTTTGTGATACATTCTGCTTTGAAAAATCACTTTATACTTTCTTTACATCAGAGCACAAGTGGCGTTGTTTTTGCTGTTATGGGTCGCGGGCCTGGGCAGGGGCAATGTTTCTCGCTATCCAAAGATTCTTTCCCCAAGGAAGGTAAGGAATACTGTTAGTTGCTTCTGTTATCATCGTGTTCCTTATGATATTATTTAAAAATTCCCAGTGACTGGAATCTACTCCAAGAAGTACTTTGATTTTCATTTATAAAGGCGGTGCGTAGTTGAATTTTTCCACATTTAACAGTAGTGTCAGAAGGTATTATACTTCCGTTGCATTAACCTAGTATCTGTAGATTTCGTTTATGTTATACAATGTATAGAAAAACTTATCACGTGATTTACGAACGCTGTCACTTTCTTCGGTCCTGTTTACAAGAAGGGAGGGTAGCCCTGGTGCTAAGGTTACCCAAGCAAGAGGGTTACCCTTGCTATCTAGCACTCGGCGCATTTTTCCTTCTCTACACGACGTGTTTACAAGGCAGGTAGTGTTACCCTAACAAGAGGGTACCCTACCTGCCTTGTAAACGCCCCGCTAAAGACAACTCGCCTACCCGGGACAACTTTGCTCCGTCACAAGTGACCCGTAATCTTGACAATTTGAACGGAATTATCCATTTTCTGAACAATATAAGGTATTTTCTGAATACGATGACAATATTTTCCCGTTTTTTCGTGAATTTAGCGTGAATTCATAGAGAAATTCAAGTTTCATTTCATATCTTGGACTTTACAAAGAATGTCACGCATGACGACGAACAGGTCAGTAAACCTGGTAAAGTTGACCCAGATGATAGGGTAACCCTACCTTTGAAATTTGCTTATAAACCCGGCTATCTTTGACCCGCTTGCGAGGGTAACCCTAGCACAAGGGTAACCCTCTATCCTTGTGAATAAGCCATTATCATGAAAAACTGCTAGTTTGAGTGTCATTGAAAATCAAGTTCATTAAGTCACTTAGAGAAAGCGGGTTACAATGTCAAAGAGTTGTCCAATATCTTAACACGAAGCATGCTTGCTCCTCCCCAAATCAGTTTTGCTTCAGTCTCTAGACAAATTACTATAAACCTATCTCTTGTTGTTGTTATTGTTGTTTTTTTTACATTTTTAAATTTCCCTACGTATACAATGTCAAGCTATTTAAAACAGCTTTTCAGTAATGTCGTCTTTATTTACTTTTTGTAGCAAATCTACAAACTGTGAAGAGTGTGGGGATTATGTACGACACATTTTTTCATTGGTACCAGGGTCTATAGCTGTTATCGGTATCTTGGCCCTTCTGTTGTTCCAAGCACCGCAAACTCAATGCACGCGAACTGGTGAGTCAGCCATTGCTAGATCTATTTTGCTGATTAGTTAACGTCATATACTGCAGTCGAACTTCTTTTATAACGGCCACCTAGTGTTCATCACGGCCATCACTGCACCTGAACGCGGACCACTTGTTTGTGGTCTGTGGCTGATGGAGTCTGTCCATACTTGGATATTGTTTCAACCTGTTAAAAACCGCAACGACTTGTAAACCGTATACGTCTTAACCGACATAGTTACCTCTAAATAGCCATTTACATGCGAAAGATTTGCAATCTGGGGTTATCATTGTACCTTAATTGCTCGCTTATTTTCGCTGAGAAATTTTTCCAACATTTTCCGACGCGATCACTGATTTCCCCGCGAAAATGGTGAAGTCCATAAATTTCTAAAATAATGATGATGTGTCGCTACCCAAATCTGACAAGTACTTCGGATTGGTTGAAAATTTGCTTCATCCAATCAGTGAGACGTACCACCCAAATGTGGGTAGAGACACGTCATCATTATGGAATTGCTGAGGTGCTCTGCCTCAGACGTCATTTCGCGGGGAACCAGTGGTGGCGTAGCGAAATAACGGCGTTTTTCTAACGCTAAATTTTACTTTGGATTTTTATGGATTTTTTTACTTAGTCTGTTTTGATTATATTATATAATAACCTATACTACAGTGTTTCACCCTTACCACCGAAAACTGCGTTTACATCACACCCTTGCCTCGCAATAACACCAGGGGCCTCTTTTCCACAAGTCACAAAGGAAGCCATTGCAGAGAGGTTCGATTGTGTTCAGAAGAGTGTTATAATAAAAGTAAAAGTTACATGTGGTTCTCCCTGCGATAACTTCAAGAGTTTGAGCAGGCAGTTTTACTCTAGAAAAGCAAGACTTTTCCCCTCTTCAAGAGAACTATAGCTGCTAGGCTAATCTGTGGCTGACAGGTATTTCACTCCATGTTTAAGGACGGTGCCCACTATTGTTACTGTGCACATTTTCTGCGCATGCCAAGGTAGTCGCGCGCGACGCGAAAGAAATGCGCAACAAGCAGGACACGCGGACTGGTTTTGTCTCCTGTAAGTCTGGGAGGTTCTAGTTACTTCTTGTGGAAAAGATGCGTCGTTTTTCAACAGATGAAAAATAATTTCTATTTGCCTTGTCAGTTCTTTGAAAACCGAAGTATGCGCATGTTCCTATTTCTAAGTATGATCGATTTGACTGAACATTTTATAATCAAACAAAAGTCAATTCTAAAATATCAAAAGTTATGCTTCAAGATGTTATGCTTGGAGCCTGGGTATTAAAAAAATCCCTTAATAGGCAAGGATCAGTAAATCAGAAGGAAAATAGCTCTAAGTTCTCCGCGTAATCGAGAAACTGCAAGCTTACCTTTCACACGCGTCCTTCACGTTTTATCGGCTGATCGGCTATAAACAACTTTCCCAAATATTTCTTTAATTTTGTAAGATTTTATGTAATTATTCACCAGAAGATAGATTTAAAGCGTTCGAGTACATACAGATGTCCCTTTTATTGAGAGTCCGAGTCTTTTATTTGTTGAACAAACAAGGAAAAAACTATCACAAGATTGCTTGGATTGTTGAGATCGCTGTTTCCCAAATAGTTGCGGACCGCAAAGGAAACGCTTTCATCGTGGAAAAAATGGTAAAAAAAATTGTTACGCTTTTTACTATTATCATTCTTTAAGCATTTTGGCATTACTAAGCATTGAAATTATTGACTCATTGGCAGCTTGTCGTGTAGATAGTATTTCTTAAGGTTCAATTTCACGCAACACATAATCTGGATATTTAGACAGAGCCGCCATTTGGCTGTTTACAAACTGAAGATAGAGGGTAAAATAAAGTATTTCCATTCTAAGACTTTCTTAGGTTTTACAGACACTGTTAAGTCTAAAATTAACATTTAGAAACGAAAATAGTGAATGATCATGACACAGAATGCTACAGTAAAAAAAATCAAAACGAAATATATAAAATGATCATTATAGCCCAGTGTATATATGAGGTACATAAGCGCATTCGGTACAACTAACCCTCACACTATTCAGCTTTTTTAAAAGAGAGCTCATGTATGGAACTTGAGTCTATGCAAATCATTTATGTCCTATGGCACTTGTGGCAAAGCCCGAAAGACATAGCGCAAAGCACAGATATAAGCTCATGTATGCAAGTTTATTAATAACATATTCGATCGAGGTACCCGGTAAAATGATAAAAAAAGCTAGGATAGAAGGTTTACAATCCACATTACATCTACAGTTCAAAAAATCTTGAGGACATGTACAGGTAAGCAAACGATTGAAGGAGTTGTACCTGTCTTAGAGTCCCTGTCGACTATTTTCCACTACAGTACAGTAGTTTGTTTACAGCACCAGCCGTGGATCTTGAGCTCGCCATACCACTCTATGTGCGCTGCAAGTAATCTCTAATACCTTGGAGATTGCTCTTCTCCAAACATTTTTGTTAAATGTTTTAGACGGAGAAGCTCCAGTTGAATGAAATAGTATAATTTGTTTTTTTTTAGAGTCCATGAAATGTCCTGCTTCACTTTCTGTTTTTGCACTCCTCCGTGTGTTGTTGTTTTCTCTGACTGTTAGCCATAGTGGATATCCCAGAGTACTCTGCGTTGAGTGAAGCAATAGTAAAACTGACCAGGGAGGGGATGGGGAAAACTGTAAATAACCCCCAAAGCGATTAAGTTGAGGTCGAAACCAACCAATTAAACTTCCAAAAACGCGCGGTAACCCCTACTTTTTATCCTACCAAATGAAAGTAATAAGCCTACTCAGCAAACGATCAATTTTTGGTTCGGGGAAAATGTCGTTTACACTATTTTTGAGGCAAACGCGTGGAGAGGGGTAACTGCTGATAAATTCCCAGTTGTGCTGATATTTCAAAAAAAGACGTATAAAGAGCAGTTGTTATGTTATCATTTGTTACTTATTTTGAAACCTGTTACAATTATCATTGCATTCGTGCCAGTTCACGTGTACAACTTTTCATCATTTTTAAAAAAAAAAAGGCCCATTGAGCGTTTTTTTCCATATTGAAGCGCAGTTACCTCTGAAAAATGCGCTGTTATATCCCCCAGTTTTCTTTTTGAAATTCAATAGCCCCTGATATGATATACTTGTCTCACATTGTCATTATCTGGGAAAAAAATACTTCCCATTTGTGGGCACCGTCCTTAATTGTGTCAAGTTCATAATTCCCCGGATGCACACAATTTTCTTCGATCCTCTTCACAAATCGAAGGATCTCTTTTCAATCTGTGGAGCGACTCGCTTTAAACGAAAGGTAAAGAAAGAGGATAAAGACAGGCCATGGGAATGAGCTGGGTGCATTCAAAGCAACAACATTTATTTTTTACTGGGATCCTCTTTTCTTACAGCTGCTAAATCAGATGCCAGCATAGATGCCAGCATAAAGTCAGAAGGAATAGCAGATAATCGCCTTTAGTGACAAGTCACTCTTTTTTGATGCCCTGAAAGGTGAAGAAAGGAGATATCATGCCAAGCTCCCTTTTTAACCTATTGATAACTATAGACCCTATATGCAAGTAAACTTTCGGTCACATTAATCACTCTGATCAAGGGGAACTAACTCCCGATTTTACGCGAATCTTCGCCGTTGAATTGAAGTCGGACAACCTGGCACCACCTAACATCTGTCCACTTTACTTATAAATAAAATACAGGTTTAACGTCACAAAAAAAGGTCTACTAGAAATAAATACAACCTTGCCCTACAAAAATGGGAGTCACAAAGGGTTAACACCTTTCCTAAGTACACTAAATCTATTCAGGTGCAAGGTCTCTGCTTACCTCATTGCGAATCCCTAATTTTGAATATCCAAATTCAGGTATTGAATATTTTCTTTATTTTCATTATATGTCTAGCCGGATTTTTGAAAACGTTACGGCCAAATGGACCTTTTTCCGTCCAACAGTTTTTTTTCCGCCAGTCTCCAATGTTGTTGTTGCTTTTTTCTCTTCTCCTCCTTTCTTCCTCCTCGCTCTTTCTTTTTCTCCTTTCCTTTTCCTTCGTTAGTGTGATTTTGGAGTTTATTGGGCCCAAAAAACTGCCTTTTGACGCCTTTTTATTTGGATGACTGCAAATTTTGTTGGGTTGGTTTTCAAAAAATCGGCTTGATGTAAAGACTAGTAATGGTCAGCGGCCAGGAGCCAAGATGGACGTTTAATTTTGAGCTCCCGCTTCTAACCTTAATGTGTCATTTTTCTACTGTTAAATATCTTGGCGTCCTATTGGACAGCAATTTAAGCTGGAAATTTCAAATTAATAATGTTCCATGAAAAATAAGCAGAACTGTTGGTTTTAGTAGTAAATTTGATTGTAATATTCATTGTAAGACTATATATTTTGTAACTTTAGCTTGTTTTTCTGTAATTCTTATTCATCCACATACTTTGTTTAGTGACTTTACAATATTATCTGTTATGACTGCTGTAACCTTTCCTCGCCGCCCGCCTCGTGTAGCTTTTGCTATTTGCGGGCGGAGATGGCAAAATGATGTGTATGAAAATAAAGTATAGTTTGTTGCTATTAGTACTGTAAACATCCATAATTTTATGATGATTATTATAACAGTTTCTTGACATTCATTTTCCTTAACGTTCAGTTGTCCATCTTTGTATAACCTATTCTTTTATGTATTATTATTTGTATTTTTATAAAAAGAGGGAAGAATATCCAGGTACATGCACGAAGTTCTATTAAAGTATGTATGTTATAGCATACTATATTGACAGTCACCAGCACAAAGCAACAACACACACACCTTTGTGGGTGAACAATCTCCAAGTGTTCTAAAGAAAAAAAAAAGTTGAAAAGAAAACAGTAAACGAAATGGTGAGTTAAGTTCTGTTCTGGGAAAAGAAACATTAACTCTTAAACCGTGTCAGCTGCTGGATATGATTATAACAATGACTACATTTAGATATTTTTAGGAGCAACAATATCACAACTATAATCTGATTTGCGCTACCCCTTCGAAAAAAGTTTACTTAATGTCGGTTCCAATATGGAATGCTGTTTTAGCCTGTGTTGCGGCACTTTTCAAAGCTGATATTTAAGGAATCTTTCGTCTTGAATGCTAGCCTCCTAGGCTGACTTATTTTAGGTTTCGTCACGTTTTCCTTCCACACAAAAGTTTTCTAAAACAGAAAACCACTTCCGCTGGTGGTGAGGAAGAAGTTGCAGGAAGCCCAATTAAAGTGAAGCGAGATGTAGAATCACGTTTACGACAAAAGCATTTGTAAGGTTCATGTTGACAAGTTCTCCGAATTAGGAAATGAGCAGACTGAAACTGTTTATTTAATTAAAAGAATTCCAGTATTAATAAAACTGTCCTGAAACTTCTTGTTTTGTGCATATTAACTTCAGGCCTCCTTCAGCTAGCAGAGGGAACTTTTGATCCCTCGTGAGGGACCCCTGATAACAGGGAACAGATTAACAAACTAAACAATAAGCTAATTAAAGGAAAATCTTGTCCAAATTGAACAAATTACAGTTTACCGAAAACGTGGTTCTAAATCTTGTGCGTGGGAGACGGTTACTTGAACGCAGCCAGGATATNGTATGAAAATAAAGTATAGTTTGTTGCTATTAGTACTGTAAACATCCATAATTTTATGATGATTATTATAACAGTTTCTTGACATTCATTTTCCTTAACGTTCAGTTGTCCATCTTTGTATAACCTATTCTTTTATGTATTATTATTTGTATTTTTATAAAAAGAGGGAAGAATATCCAGGTACATGCACGAAGTTCTATTAAAGTATGTATGTTATAGCATACTATATTGACAGTCACCAGCACAAAGCAACAACACACACACCTTTGTGGGTGAACAATCTCCAAGTGTTCTAAAGAAAAAAAAAAGTTGAAAAGAAAACAGTAAACGAAATGGTGAGTTAAGTTCTGTTCTGGGAAAAGAAACATTAACTCTTAAACCGTGTCAGCTGCTGGATATGATTATAACAATGACTACATTTAGATATTTTTAGGAGCAACAATATCACAACTATAATCTGATTTGCGCTACCCCTTCGAAAAAAGTTTACTTAATGTCGGTTCCAATATGGAATGCTGTTTTAGCCTGTGTTGCGGCACTTTTCAAAGCTGATATTTAAGGAATCTTTCGTCTTGAATGCTAGCCTCCTAGGCTGACTTATTTTAGGTTTCGTCACGTTTTCCTTCCACACAAAAGTTTTCTAAAACAGAAAACCACTTCCGCTGGTGGTGAGGAAGAAGTTGCAGGAAGCCCAATTAAAGTGAAGCGAGATGTAGAATCACGTTTACGACAAAAGCATTTGTAAGGTTCATGTTGACAAGTTCTCCGAATTAGGAAATGAGCAGACTGAAACTGTTTATTTAATTAAAAGAATTCCAGTATTAATAAAACTGTCCTGAAACTTCTTGTTTTGTGCATATTAACTTCAGGCCTCCTTCAGCTAGCAGAGGGAACTTTTGATCCCTCGTGAGGGACCCCTGATAACAGGGAACAGATTAACAAACTAAACAATAAGCTAATTAAAGGAAAATCTTGTCCAAATTGAACAAATTACAGTTTACCGAAAACGTGGTTCTAAATCTTGTGCGTGGGAGACGGTTACTTGAACGCAGCCAGGATATTTATTTAGAATAAATCAGTCAGAAACCAATGATTATGGTTTTCCGCTCCTTAGAATTTACATGTAAATGAATACACATTAAATGGCTCTCTTTTCTTGTTCAAAAATACCAAAAACACATCATGGATTAAACAAGAAGTTGCGTTCTGTCTGTTCTTACATGTATTTCTATTTTTGACCTCCAAATAACGGTCGCTAAAATCCCCGCGCTCAGAAACCACTACTTCTTAACATTTCTTGGACGCAACAACGATTCGTATTCGCATGACTGAGCCCCGGTGAGCTCAGGTGCAAGACTTAAGCAAAATATGCTTTTGAGGGGACTTAAAAAGCGATAATACTTGGGTTGGACTGTGTCCTTGCGTCAATACTAAATGACCTCTTACAAGCCTGCAGCTAAAGTATATAATTTTAGTTCATTTAATATGAACAATAATGATTAAACGACCTCGAGCTGGAGCTTGTGGGAAAAAAAGCTAATATTAAAATACTTGGAGTGTATTAAAATTTGGTTTGTAGTGTTTTATAAAGACAGGTAGAAAAACACAGAACATTAGGATGGTGAAAAAAAAAAAAAAAAAAAA